TGATCACCTTTGAACGCAAGCTTGATGTAGATGGCCTTTTTATCGACGTTTTGGGACGGGGTACCTTTTGGAATTGGTCTACAGTGAATATCTATATCTATCTGTTTGTTTTAGGTCAGCGACTGAGAAGGTTAAACGAAATGTTAACATCTCGCGACATTTGTCTTCTTTCTGTTTTGATGAAATGGACAAAGGGAACTCAATGCTTCAAAGATCTAATAACTGATCAGATTCATACCCATCCCATGATTTGAACGACTGATGTGACCAGACTTTAGTTTGTAACTTTCGGATGCTGGAAACGGCCCCTTACAACAGATCAGCGTTTGATTCTAAGCAATTTATGGTACGAAAGAGGGCGAGACAGTATGTTAGGCAATTAAATGCAACGTGGACAAGCGATCAGATAACAAACAGCAAACCGAACATAGGCGATCTCTCCAAGTTTTCGACAATTGTATTAATCATAATACGAAATAAGAAATATTGTGTAAAAGAATGCTGAACTGTATTGATTGGAAGGAATCTGATGAGCTGTTTTACTTTTCGGGACAAAAAATAACACGGATTAGACTAGCATCGAGTGGGGAAGGGTGTGGGAATGAATGTACAGCGAGGAAGGAGAGTGGGAGTTCAGATAAACATCGAAGCAAGAGATAAAATGTAAAAGTAGCGGAAAGCATGGAAACGAGTGTATGAAAAAAACATAAATAGACTGCAACCGTCACTCGTAGTCTCGGTTATCTGCCACACCCGCCACGACCCAGTTCGGTCCTGAGACACGTTCGAAAAACAACATCCGGTGACTTAGTTCTGATCGGGATCAGATTCGGCAGCCTTGTCTTGCTCAACGCTGTCTGAGTCTTCATTCGCATCTGATTTGACCTGTGAACGAAGGAGAGGAAAGTGCATTTGGTTAACCTCTAAATGGCATCAGTTAGATGAACGTGAGAAAAAATTTTGCGTTGAATACCTCAGTAGGAAACTGTAGATCCAGTGTTGTAAACAGTTGAGCTGAATCAACAACAAAGCGCAGGGTACATGCCAAAAGTGAAATCAAAAACAAAATAAAATCACATTGTAGTAACTGATTGATATTATTATTATGATCATTGCATTTCACAAAACCCGAAGCAGAGCTCAGGTTGTGACGCAAATGAGTACCAAACAGGATAGTGATGCAGCTCGGAAGCATGAGCTACCGGACAGAATACCTCACCTATTTAATTTGTGATGAAACGCATTGAAAGAAACTATTGTATTCACTATCGCTTTCTATTTTCTGGGAACGATGCCTGCCAACGCAGATCACTGGAATATGCGAGTCGTATCTTGCCCCAACAAGCTCAGGCTACGGAGGTCAAGTACCAGAATGGAACCGCGACATTGCTGAACCCGATATTTCACCGGATACAGGAATTGCAACAGAGGTATACTGATATCGGTGATTTGTTCCCAAATTCGATGCGCATACTCCATGCCTCATAATCACGCACGGAGCTGAAGCAACGTAAGTTCAACACTCAACGGATGTCACTTTGACATCCCAATGTGAAGTGATAAAAGATTGTCGTGCTTCCGACAAGATGAACAATGCCACTCCGAAATGGGCAGTTCGGGTAGGGGGCGGTTTACTGTGGCTATCTGAGAAGCGAATTAATTTCATTTCTGCTGTGGACTGACACAATTCTCATCCTCTGATGATGCGAAACACAGACTAAACATGGTTACGTTAATGATCGTATTATTCATCAATGCTGGTCTAGGTTTGAAGTCAAAGCTAAAACATGATCCACATTTTTGAATTTTTATTACACACTATTTTGTGATGAACGGCAGAATAGGTAAACTCCATAATCCTGAAGAGCTTCACTTCACTTATGGAAAGCGGCAACTTGTGTCCTTGGACTTGAAATTGAGAATGATATAATGCTCCACTAGCATAGGTAACCGTCCAGTTTCAGTTGTTTCTGCAAATATTAACCGCGCACTTTCGTGCGCCAGTTTTGCTTGCTGTAACCGTCGGAAGAAATCTAATGTCAGTGTCCTAAAACGAGTATTGCGCAACTTGTAAAAATGCTGTCACTCACAGAGTAGAGGATGCGATGGTAATTCTGGTGATCATCAAGATTGCTATTCTAAAGCAAAATAGGGTGAGGCAAACTTCGTGGACCGCTGCTAAGCTCGCAATATTTGAGGTGGAGAACGCATTTTGGGAGGGNGGGAGGGGGGTGGGGTGGGGAAGATCACAAATATGATCATAATGCGGTGCAAATACTGCATCGAGCAGTTTGAGTTTGAGTGTGGATCGTGGTCGTATCCTCCAGAACCCTTGGGCTCAAGCTCGGTAGATTCTTACTGATGTTGAACTTCTTGTCTATTAGAGATTCTGGTCCCCATCTAAGCTCCGTCCATACGCGACTGCCTTGTGCATTAGTTCCAGGGGGCGTGGTGTTGCGCATCAGAGATTTAGTGAACCTGCTAATGAAATGCCGCAAAACGTTAACGATAACTTAAACAGAGAGGTGTTTGTGAGCCTCACACTTATTTTCTTGACGCCTTACTAAGCACCATAATCGTTTCATTTGTGATTCATTCCAGTTTCATGAGAACTCAAAGTGCTCCAACGACTCCACTCAGTTTCAGTTTGAACAACCATTAACCATGCACTTTCGTGCGCCGGTTTTGGCTGCCCATTGGGATGAAGAATAGGAGAAGAAAGGAAAGTTGAAAGTGGATTCGAAAGGAAAATGGAGAAGTTCAGTGGACTAAGGTTGGAAAGAAATTGAGGAGATGCACGAACGCCACTGTTTACGACACCCAGCCATATCGCTCAGTGTCTCTAACCATCGGTTACGATAATCCCGAGGTCCCCAGCCAGGGAGCCTAACAGGACCTATGTGACCCAGTTTCCTGGTAAGTGTTCTCATACCCTCGTGCCAAGTCTCAACTTGACCAACCTTGGCTTTTCTCCACTCTGTATCTTCTTCGGCGAACATTGCTCGCCATCTCATCGTTGGGTCGCCCAGTATCATATTAACCGATCCCCTTTGAATAGCTAAGCTGCCATATCCCTAATAGGAGACAAATTGAATTTTATTTTACGCAATAAGAGTGTGCTCATACGACCGGACAATTTCATCTGCGGTTTCGGAAGCGTTAAACCTCACCCACAAGTAGGAATGAGTAGAAACAGTGCTCAGTACGAACAAACCATACTAATGATTGTTTCCATTTTTCAGTAGCGTCCTCCAGAACATTGCCACTCTATACGCGACCGTTCGCAAAATCCTATTCCGTCCCATCGGCACAACGAACGTTCAATATCGTGAACTGTAATCTCCAACGGATTGTTTCCATTGCCCATGATTTGGCGCCAAGTTAAGGACTAGTAGCCACAATCGTATCGGTGAGCTGAATGTTCCTGAGTTTTCCAAACATTCCATCCCTGCAAACAGTGCAATGTACTAAAGCGCTTCTAGGGATGGGCAACCTAGCCAACGACGAGGAATACCAATTTGAGTGGTTTCAGATGGCGGTTCTCAATATCGTATCCCCCAGAGTGAGCAACTTAGTTCACGATGGCAGTTCGAACGCCCTATTAGCATTCCCCATCACAGTCAATCAAATGCTGAAGTGCAATCAAATAGTAAAAGAAGACTGACAAGAAAAGTGGCGTGCATAGCAACGACCCGCTAGCGTCTCTTCTCAAGTTACGGAACACACCGTCGACCGCAATGAGGATCAGCCCGTGTTAGCGTTGGTCTCACGGATACACACGCACTGATCTGCCTACTCAGATGTTGTCAGTTACTACAGCCGCCGACTACACTACTATTAATCATCAAGTCAAGACTGAAAAAGTGCACGGCGATGCAGATGAGGTATTAGGGAAGTTTCTGTGCGTGCTTAAACCAGGTGACAAGGTGTGGGTAGAACCGCTGGAGCTGCCAAAGAGGGTCTGAGTGGAATGGGAATCGGTGGTGAGCTCAATAAAGTAACGCTGTGGTCAACGCCTGCAGAGGAAAACAGGATCCATTTAAGAAAACAAGGAAGGATGGTGAGGAGGAGAAGAAAAAGGGAGGCAAACAATACGCAGTAGGAAGTCGCAATGGACGTTTGCGCATCATTGTCAGAAGCACATGACGTGTAGAACAGATCAAGCACCGTTACGAATAAAAAATGGCCATCGAGGATTGTTAATTACTATGCGTAGTTACTTCTTCCCCGTTTGCATTAGACTATTTATGAGTAGCAGCATTTCGCGTTTGTTTCACGAACACTTTCACATTTAACTCACGGTTACTTGTGAGTAGTGAAGTAGTTGTTAAACTTTCGGTTTTTGTGCATCCCGAGACACCTACAGTAGTGATGAAATTGATATATTCCGATAGTGTATTTAACGGACTTTTATTACTTTGATTACAATATGCGTATTCGTAGAGTTGCATTATCCCACTGACATAGAAATTTGCCGAACGCTTGTTTTGTGAGTAAAAACCAACCGCCACGAAGGACCGAACCACAGGCTGCGGCGTATCTGACACGAAATAACCCTACGCTATACACACCTACCACAGACTTGTTTATCGTTTATATCACTGCTTCCCTTTTGATTGACACTGCCCTTTGGCATAGCGTCCCGATTTGTTTGCACTTACTAGACTTCATATATGTCAACTGTTGCTTTATTCCGAGATTTAGGTGGTGTAAATCTTTTCCCTACTGTACCGCAACCTCCTCAACTTGAATTTGACTGCTGCGCTACTGTTACGCTAAGCTGTCTACCGGATAGACCCTGTTCGTACGGACTGTTACCTCTGCTCTGTAATTCGGTTGGTCACCTGACTGTAAGTTTCTTTTTCTGTTTTGTTATTACTGTACGATTTTAGAACCATGATTCAAACCATTTGTCAAAGCAACTTTATTGGACTTCTTTATAGTGCCCATATCGTGTGTACAGCTATGGAGACTGAATAGCCGAGGAATTTCCAATTGCTAAAGCGTGACAGCATAACGACCTTAAAGGCGTCTGAAGGGAAACGAATATGTTAGATAGTGTTTGCAGCATAACCGTTTGTTCCACCGTATCCATTTCGTTTTATGATTAGTCCGTATACGGTTTTTGTTGAGAGTCAGTCGGACAAACTGATTCATGCTAATCGTCCTGTATTCGCCTCCGATTGGCGCACTGCACATCTAAAAAAACTCCCTCACCCAGTGCGTGAAAAACATACTTTGGACAGTTCATGTTCTGGCGGGGGAACGTGTTTGAGCACGTCTAAAATCAACTTGATTCTCACGCGTACCACGGTCATCACAGTGGCAGACAATCGATGGGGTGTGATACCAGCAACCGGCTTTGGGGGACTATTATTCAAACAAGAGGATCTATCCTTCGTCTAGTAAAGCAATAGGAAAACCTATTTATACAATTTTCCCGGAACTGGTTCGCTTTTCCATTCCGAGATCCGAATTGTTCAACGCCAAAGTTCATGCTGATCCCTCTGAACGTGAATGGAGGGACTCCGCTCGGTGCAGAGGCCTTACATCTTTTCGAATATCTTTATCCTTATGATACATAAGGAACACTGGTGTCACCTGGTATTGGTTGTCCTCTTCAGGTAAAATTAGGTAAACTCGTTGTCAGTGGAGGTCACTTGAACTGTGCTTTGAAGAGTTCTGATCATCACTCCAGGAGGCGTTACCGAATTTAAATCAGTGCATCGTCAAATTCTTTAGTCACCTTGATTACGTTCATTTGCCGGAAATTTGCATCCCTTAAACGAAATCATCAAACCACCAACACCACCACATCTAATGAAGCCCCAGAGGATTCGATTATTACGAAATTCAGCATGTAATTAGCACAACAATGTCTTGTAACTAGGGAATACGATGACTTACTGTTAACTGCACTATTTTCTTTTTATCGCTTTCGAGTTTGATGATATGAACACCACACTCGTGAAGACACTTCCTCTCTGGAACACCAAACCTGAGCCCTGTGGTCTAAAATGAAGAACTACACAAGGCAGAAACAGAATCCAAGACGTAGTTCTGAGCCAGGTGATAGTGAAAGCACTCACTACCAGGGTGTAATTGCCCGAGGGTGAGGATCGCACCTAAGCTTTTACGGATTAGTGTCCGACCATAACAGGGACTTCAAACCCTGGATCACTACCATGGCAGGCGCGGCTATCACCAATACAATTCTTGTGGTATTGGTGGATAACAAATGTTGTTCAGTCTGATGATAGACGATGCTATGCACCGGTTTTTGCTTTAACTGAGATTACGGCGTCCGAATTTCAAGCCAAAAGGACTGTTAACAAACACACGGGACAACTCTACCCGGCAGGGAACTGATACGCAATTGAAATGCGCACATTTTTACCAAATTCACTCACCTTGATTTCATCCTCTTCTGTTGTGCTGCGAATACGATAGATTATCATATTGTGTTTTTGCTCGGCCTCAATCTGTACAAACAGTGATAGAAAAACTTACATTAAAATATAACTCTGTTTACTGTCCGTTTATCATAAAATACTTTTAGAGCGAACAAGATACTTTCATTCAAACCGTAAATTCTTTAAATGTGGAGTTAGGGGTATGGTTCACCAAGGTGCTGCGATGCAAATGATTGAACCTGTCATATCCCTCTCAGAAGGTTAAGAATCAAGATTTTCTAGCTCCCGTAGAGCTAGCTGCTCATGGTTCATTAACTCAACCATGGTTCTGGATAATGACTTTGCCTTCTCTCCCCCCCCCCCCCC